CCCGTGTTGTAGTTGCACTCCAAGGTGTAGCTGCAGAGCAAACAGGACCTGTGTCACCCCAGGGGTCCCCACTCTGAGTGGGGCCGGGGTCCCCCCACATGCTCCCCCAGCCCCAGGTGGGGTTGGGAAGGGATGTGGCTCCTGCCACATTAATCTTGCTGCCACCCACTTCATGTGTGCTGGGTCTGCTGGAAAAGGGAAAAAGGGAGAAAAAAACAGCTGATGGCAGCAGGGTGCCAGGACAGGAGAGTGGCCCATGGCAAAGTACCCAGAGAACCAGACCCCAAATAAAGGCCAAAGAGAGGACTGGCCACAGGAGAGCAGGAGTGGTCACGGGAGCAGAAACAGCCAGCGAGGGCTGACACTGAGCTCCTGAAGCACTTGAGTGCCCACCTCTTTTACATCAACACTCACTGCACCCACAGCTACCAGGAACACCCCAACCACTGTACTTCAGGGTGAGGCAACAACCACGAGATGTTCTCTGGTCATGCCTGGCAAGCTCATGCTAGGGAGAGGGGACAGCATAAGCGTAGTGGGAGGAGGGATGGCACGTTGCTCCCTGGGTCAAAGTCTCAGGCAGTGCCAATTTCCTGGCAATGAGATCCTGGACCACTAGCACAGCATAGACAGCAGAGCTTTGGGGAAGAGCAGGAGATCTGTCTTGCCTCTCTCCACTTAGAACTACAGACTGGTTTGGTTTGGAAGGGATCTTAAAGATCGCCCAGTCCCAAGCTCCTGTCATGAGCAGGGACATCTCCCACTAAACAAAGTTCCTCCAAGCCCCATCCGACCTAGCCTGAAACACTTCCAGGCATGGGGCAGCCACAGCTGCCCTGGGCAATATGGGCCAGCACCTCATCACCCTCACAGCAAAGAATTTCTTCCTAAGATCTCATCTCAGTCTCCCCTCTTGCAGCTTGAAACCATTCCCCCTCATCCCATCACACGGCCCTGTCAAAACTCCCTCCCCAGCTTTCCTGCAGCCCCTTCAGGTCCTGGAAGGTGCTCTAAGGTCTTCCCGGCACCTTCTGCAGGCTGAACAACCCCAACTCTCTCAGCCTGTCTCCAGAGCAGAGCTGCTCCAGCCCCTTGCATTGTCTCTGTGACCATCTCCAGACTCACTCCAGCAGCTCTATATCTTTCTTGTGTTTGGGACTCCAGAGCTGGACCCAGCACTGCAGTGGGGTCTCACCAGAGCAGAGCAGAAGGGGACAATGCCTTGCCCTACTGGTATGCTGCTGAAAATCAGTAGGACAGGCCATGGGACAGATTGCTCCAGCCACCTATGCATTCCTGAGCCACCAGGGCAGGAATGGGAAAGAACATCACACTGACTGCTGGAGGAACAGATATGGCTGCCACAGGTCACAGGAACATCCTTAGCCCAGGCAACCATGGGCTGGCTGAGGATGGGATCCTGCACGGCAACCTCACACACTGGATCTGGGGAAGATGAGCCCACCATGACTAAACTGGTTTTAATTACAGCTCCATGTAAATATAAACATCTGGGAAAGTGGAGAATTCCTTTGGGAAACAGGGAATTCCTTTAGGAAAGTTTTGCACCAGCAGAAAAGAGAAGCCTGGCCTGCAGCTCAGGGACACAGCAGCACCTGGCATGTCTGACTCCCAGCCTCTGCACCAAGCATCCAAGACTCTCCTTGGCCACCCTCAGACCCACGGGGGAGCTAGAGGGGATGTGGCTGCCTCTGCAGGAGGGGTTTCACCTTCCCTTAGCATCCCCCATCCTTCCAGGCCAGAGGAGAGCCAGCCAGAGTGAGGGTTCCTACCTGTGGATGATGCCCAGGGCTTTATAGATGGCCACACGCCCGCTGCCTTCCTTGGACTGCCCATCCCGCCGGTCCCGGGCATACATGTTCTTCTCTGAGAAGTTGCAGCCCGTGAAGTCGAAGTGAGGTGAATTCAAGGAGATGAGTTTGGGGAACAGCATGTTCTCCACCTGTGAGGCAGAAGGGAGCTGGAGTAACTCTGACAGAGCCCTCAGCTCCTCATCCTGCTCTAGCGCTACCAGTGCCAGGCACTGAGATGCACTGGGATTGCAGCTGGGTCCCCTCTGCCCAATGCCAGCCTCTCACACAGCAGCACAGCTCCCCTCACTCTCATAGAATCAGATTTGTTTTGGTTGCAAAAGATCTTTAAGATCATCAAGTCCAGCTGTTACTCCAGCACTGCCAAGGCCACCACTAGACTACGTCCCTCAGCACCACATCTACACAGCTTTCAAAACCCTCCAGGGATGGGGACTCTATCACTGCCCTGGGCAGCCTGGGCTGGTGCTTGACAACTCTTTCCATGAAGAAATTGTTTCCAATATCTGATCTAAACTTCCTCTGGCACAACCTGGGGCTGTTTGCTCCTGTCCTATGGTATGTTCCCTGGCAGAAGAGACTGAACCCCCAGCTCCAACCTCCTCTCAGGGAGTTGCAGAGTGAGAAGGTCTCCCCTCAGCCTTCTTTTCTCCAGGCTGAACACCCTCAGTTCCCTCAGCTGCTCCTCATCACACTTGTGCTCCAGACCCTTCCCCAGCTCTGCTGCCCACCCTTATCCTTGAGGAGAAGCAAGGGCAGCTCCTCTGTCCACACCAGCTCCTGTTGGGGCAACGACAGGACATGCTGCTGCTGCCCTGGTCACAGCCATGCGGGGAAAAGGGGTGGAGAGCGAACTCCCCTAGTGCCAGACAGCAGCCAGCCTGGTGCCCCAGATCTCCCAATTGTATCCCGCAGCAGAAGGGAGCACTGGGGACTCCAGGGAGGGGGCAGAGTGGTGCAAGGGTCCTAGCCTGCCCAGCATCTGCGTGCTCCTCCCTCCAGCCCTCACCTGGTCGTTTTCGTCGCTGAAACTGTTGCCGTACATGAAGCAGCCGCGCTTGGAGGCATGGCCGTGCAGATCCACGTAGTAGGCCAGCCCACTGTCCTGGGGTGAGATGCTTTCAGGGGCGGGGGCTGCTGGAGGCCTGCCACCCCCCTCCTCACAGGGCTCTGGGGGGTGGCTGGAGGGCAGGATCCAGAGTGCCGGGTCCCTGCCTGGCTGGGTGACAGGTTCTGCTGGCAGCGGGTTGTCCTCAGCAGTGCCACGGGCTGTGCTGGTGTGCCAGGCACCAGTGTTCTGGAGGTTCTTGGCTTTCTCCAGCTCTGAGAGGGCTGGGTCTGGGGGTGGGGCACTGCTGCTGAGCGGGGTATTGGAGGATTTTGTGCTTAATGAGCTAGGACTGAGTGGGGAGACAAAGGTCCTCCAGTCAGGAGAGCCTGGCAGGACGCGGCTGTGGATGTGGTGGTAGAGGAGCACGGCCTTGGCACCATAGACTGCAGGGTGCAGCTCCGCATCGGGGTTCAAGTACTGCCGGTTCAGGTTCACCCCACGGGAGTCAGTTCTGCAGGGAGAGGAGACACCAGGCCCTTCACACAGTGCCATTCATAACTGCTGGGGCTTTGGGCTCCATCCAAGGCACAACTGGCCATACCATCCCTGTAAGCAGAGGCTCTGTCCCAGGGCAGCCCAGAACAGCTCTCATGGCCTGGCATGTGCCTCAGCCAGCCCTGAGCGATCCCCTCCCTCCCTCCTCCCTGAAGCTGTCCCAGCTCCGACAGGCTGGGACAAAGCCCTGACCTGGGTGACCTGCACAGGACACAGCTGCTCCCAGCCCTGCCTGGGCGTCCCAGGTTTTGGCTGCCAAGCCAGCAGGCCTTGGCTTGTTCCTCTGCCACCAACAGCTCCTGGGACTGTTCCTCACAGCCACGACCACATGGACGGTGGTCTCCAGAGCAGGAGCTGGGCCCAGCCCCCTGGCCCCACTGCCCACTCACCGGTAGTGGCCCCGCACCACCCCGTCAGGGTTCAGCATGGGAACCAGCTTGAAGACGAACATGCGCCGCAGCATCTGGGCACGGGGGTCCTCCTCCCGCAGGATGAAGTTCAGGAAGCCGTTGAAGACAAAGCTGGAGGGTGTTTCTCCAGGGTGGACCCTGCTGCTCAGGAAGAACACCTAGGGACAAGGACAGAGCAGGGGGGACAAGCAGTTCCCGCTGCCCTAGGATGCCATGATGGCTTCCCCAAAGGGCTGGACTCTCTCAGGGGGACTACCCACAATTTTTTGTGGCTTCTTTGCATAGTGCAGCAGGAAACTGGGACCCCCCAAGGGCTCTGTGCAGCCTTAGCTCCCACCTGTCCCCGTGCCCCACACAAGGGGCTGACACCCCACACATGGCACTGCCACCAGCTTCACGGGGCAACAGCAATAAAAGGAGAACAGAACAAAACTCCTGGGAAATCTGACACTGATTTTTGCCCTGAGGAAGAGGTGCATGACGCTACCAAAGGGTGTTTCAGGGTGCCACGCAGGTGGTGGCAGGCTGCTGGTCCCCACACTTCAGCGGGGCTGATAGTGCAGCAGGAAACCTGGATCCCCCAAGGGCTCTGTGCAGCCTTAGCTCCCACCTGTCCCCGTGCCCCACACAAGGGGCTGACACCCCACACATGGCACTGCCACCAGCTTCACGGGGCAACAGCAATAAAAGGAGAACAGAACAAAACTCCTGGGAAATCTGACACTGATTTTTGCCCTGAGGAAGAGGTGCATGACGCTACCAAAGGGTGTTTCAGGGTGCCACGCAGGTGGTGGCAGGCTGCTGGTCCCCACACTTCAGTGGGGCTGTCACAGACTCCGCTCCAGCCCTTTGGGATGTAACACCTCTCGAGTCAGAGGTGTGAGGATGGCAGCACAGCCCTGACACACAGACCACGGCAGCTGGTGGCCTCACAGCTGGTGCAGCAGCTCACCCTCTTCCCGGTGAAGTGGTGCGGCCGCGGAGTGCTGGTGTCCGGGAAGAGCTTGTCCAGGCGGGGTTCCCGCTTCTCCAGCATGCCGTGGCAGGAGGTGATGGTAAGGAGGTCCACTCGCAGCTTGTCCAGGGAGTAGCAGAGCAGCTCCCGGTGGTAATAGACGGAGTCGAGGGGGCTGCAGGGTAAGGAGGGATGCTCAGCCAGGGCCTCCCCTGCTGCCAGGTTTTGGAATTCTCATAGCTCACCATCGTGTGACAATTTAGGACAAATCCCTTCCAATTCACCCCTTGTCTAGGAGAAGGTATTTATGACCCTGGCCCCATGTCACAGAGAGCCTTAGAGGCAGGAGGGCTGCAGGACAGAGTGATCTGCAGGGACACCCCAGGAATGGCTCTGTCCTTCTCTTAGAAAAAATTCTAGAGCTTAGGGGACCTTCTCAGCACAATGCCCAGAGAGATCAGCCTAGGCAGTAAGATCCCCGTGAAAACAGCCATGGGGAAGGGAGCAGCAGGAGAGGTGCTGGGACCTTCCCACTGCTAGGACAGGGAAAGCAAATGGAGTCCAAGCCTCAAAGAACCCCACTCCTTACACCCAGGATAGTAGGTCTGCTACGGCCCTTCCTACCCTTGGGAATGCTAGGGGTCTGGCCCAAAGGACCTTCTGGAAGCTCCTCAGAACCACAGGCTCAGGGGAACCTGCTGCAGCTGCTTGTGCAGAGCTGGGGCCTAGAGGAGGGTGCAAAGGGACCCCCTTCTACAGCCAGAGCTGGGGCAGAGCCAAGCAGGCGAGGGCCAGGTGTGGGGCTCGGGAACAGACACCTGCTAGGGGACATGTGCTGGCACTCCTGGAAGCGGCTGTCCAGCTGTGCCAGCATCTCCTGGCAGTCGGTGTAGGAGAAGGGGTAGCAGAAGGCGAAGTAGGTGGTGGTCCCACGGTGCTCCAGGAACCGGTGGACGAAGGACAGCACGAACTGTGTCTCAACCATCTGGAGTGGAGGGCAGAGCTGAGGTCACACAGAGCCACCTCCCGGGGCAGTCACAGCTACCACAGCCCCCTGCTTTCCCTGGTTCCCTGCTTGCTTCCTGTTGGCACTCAGCTCTCAAAGGGACACCTGACTCAGGGGCACGAAGTTCCTTTGGTCCCTGTGCCCCACCCCCCCAGCACTCAGACTGAACAATCACTATTTTGGCACAATTAGCAAGGTGAACGAGCACTGCAAAGCTCAGCTGTGTGCCATACCCCTTCCTGGCACTGCCACAGGCCAAATCAAGAGTCACCTTGGGGACAGGAGGATCCTCTCTGGCCCTGCTACATGGGGTGGGGGCATGCTAGGGGGGTCACTGCCTCCCTGTCACAGCCTGCACAGAGTGGGACAGCCCTGAGCACCCAAAAGCGACTGTCACCACGCAGCTCCTGCTGGACTGAAGCCAAGTCCTGCTCCAGGCCCAAACAGCTCAATGGGGCTGTGAGAGGTGGCTCCAGCCCCCAGCTCCCTGAGGACCTGTTTACTGGCCACTTTGGCAATGCATGGACAGGAAGGGATGTCCCATGTGTGCTCTGAGGACAGATCAATGGTTCCTCCATCACACAACTGGGAAATCACCCAGCAGGAGCCTGTATCCCAGCCGAAGGGCCAGCAGAGAGAAGCTGGGTCCTCAGCCCTGGGAAAGGGCTTTGTTAATTCCCCCCCAAACCCGGAACCCTCTCCCTGCCTTGCAGCTGAGGCCCCCAGCCCTATCCCTGCACCTCGAAGCTGGGCCGCTCCCGGATGCGCTCCCAGCGGGGCCGCACGGGCAGCGTGCGGACGAAGGGGGCCATGCCCTGGGAGTACAGCCGGCTCTGCTTGTTCATGTTCACGATGTGCAGCTTGATCAGCTTCCCCGGGGCTCCCCCCTGGACACTGAAGTAGAACCAGGACCTGTGTCGGGGGGTCAACAGCAGGGCTGGATCAATCCCTGCCCCCGTCCTCCTGAGCCCACCACTCCCCCCGGCCAGGGTGATCCTGTGCCCTCCCGGAGGGCAAAGACCTCACGAGCCACCTGCTCCTTTAGTACCCCTGACCCTGCCAGCTACACCCTGCTCCCCTAGTCCCG